GGGTTTAGGGTTTAGGGGTTTAGGGTTTAGGGGTTTGGGGTTTAGGGTTCAGGGGTCTAGAGGTTTTGGGGTTTAGGGTTTAGGGTTCAGGGGTTTAGGGTTTAGGGTTTTAGGGTTTAGGGTTCAGGGGTCTGGAGGTTTAGGGTTTAGGGTTGTAGGTTTAGGGTTCAGTGGTTTAGGGTTCAGGGTTTAGGGCTTAGGGTTGAGGGTTTAGGGGTGTAGGGTTTAGGGTAGGGGCCTAAATAATTAGAATAGGGTTTTGGGCCTTTTTATAGTATACATATAAGAAGGAACCATAGGGAATAATATTGGGAATTATTTGGGATTCTAGCATAGGGTGGTTTATGAGTTCAGGGTTTTTCCACAACTGGGAGAAGCCTGGCGAAAGTCCTGGTGCGAGGGTACAGGGTTTATTAAACCCTAAACCCTAAACCCTAAACCCTAAATTTAAGGTGTCCTACCCAGGAAGACCACCAAACAACAATCGAGCTCAGGATTCTAGTCTTGGGGGTTTAGGGTTTAGGGATTTAGGGTTTCGGGTTTAGGGTTTAGGGTTAGGGTTTAGGGTTTAGGGTTTGGGTTTAGGGTTTAGGGTTTGGGGTCTTGGGTGTGATGGGGTGTGGGTTTAGGGTTCAGGGTCTAGGGTTTGGGATTCGGGTTTAGGCTTTGCTGTTTGTGATGCTGTTCCGAATGGAATTTCGGAAACCAGACAATGACACGGATAACAGGATATATACCTTAAGCGAGCATTACCTGGATGCTGAGTCGGGTTTCGATAATTTCCTACTGGGGTTTATGCGACGACACGGCGTGCAAGTAGATCTAGCCTAGTTAGCCTACTAGGCTGAGGTTGTGTTTTGGCGGAATTTGAAAAGTCTCCTGTATTAGTCGCAGTGGACCTGGAGTGGTCCGCTCTACAGTAAGTTGTTTTAGTCCAACCGTCTAGAAGTAAATTTTTCAATCTTAAACTTTGATGATCGAAACCTACGATCATAACATCCTATCATTCAAAACTAGGTCCCGAACTACATCTTCATCTCGCTCCAAATTCTGTCCTGAACACTAAGAGCCCCAAACCCAGATCTTGACCTTGCTCCAAATTGAACCCTACCCTTCTCCTCAAACTTTGAAGCATCCAGCAGTTTTTGTCTTAGTAGAAACCAACCAACAAAAGCTAAAGAATCACCAGCACAATAAATCCCCAAAACACGCGACGCTCGAAGAGGGAAGCTAGCCGTAATTACCCCCCTAAACCCCGAAACCTTAGCCGCAGCCCCAAACCCAAAGTCCTGCGCCCGAAACCCCAAAACCCCTAATGTAGAAGCGTGAACAATTACCTATATGATTCACTAGGGTTCCCTATTATAAGTAAAAACGTAACAAACCCCTTTTCGAATCATTAAAGCGCCCATATTTACAGCCTAAGCCCCTAAACCCCAAAGTCTAAATCCGAAACCCCCAGCCCCCAAAACCCCTAGGCAACCCTTCATTCTTTTTGCGGCGGAGAGGCGGCCCACAGGAGATCGAAAAGCATTCCTTCGTCGGGCACATCCGTCGGCCTCTTCGGTCTTGGGGCTTCGAGCTTCGAGCTTTGGAGCTTTGTTTTTTTGTTTTGAGCTCTGTTTTGCCGTCTGCAGGTCTGAAGCTGCAGCCAGAAGAGCTCAGGGTTAAGGGTTTAGGGTCGTTTCATGTTTGCTTTCCACGCTTCCTTGTTCATCTAAAACCCCAAACCCTCAACCCTGAACCCTAAAACCCTAAACCCCAAAACCCTAAACGTTCATCTAATGTGGCCGCCTGACCCGGGCAAAAAGAAAGGATCCTCACGGGTCACCTTCGACAAGCCTTGGTGCTGTCGAATATTCGTAACATTAGATGTGACATCTCAGGTCCTTCAGGTTCAGTTTTTGTTACTTTTCATTTTTGTTCTGTTCAGACTTGAAGGTGAGCTTTTGGCAGGCTTGATGCGTCGCGAGGGACAACCTTGCTCTCGCCACTCCGGTCTTCTCTTTACACGATAGCTATGCCGGTATACCCTATTAACCCTGAGCCCCTTAGACCCCTAACCGTTAGACCCAAACCGTTCGTTTTATCATTGAATCTTCAAGCGTTCAAGGCTTTCGCATCTTCGGACCCCTGCTGGCGTCGAAGTTTAAGCGGTTCAGCGTTTTCGAATTCAGGGTTTACCGGTTTTTTGGCTTGGTACACTCCTCGATTTGTGCGTCACCGGATTACGGTTCATGTAGAGTTTAGGGGTTTAGGGTTTAGCCTCCTTCATATTCATAATCACTTCCAGGTCCACGAGGGCCGGAAGGGCAGAGTTGCCTACTACCAAGCTTGCCAGAAGCACCAGGACATGGCAGCAACAATGGAAATCTAGTGAGCGTGGCACTAGCGACGCGACTGTAAAGTTGCGGAGGTGCACCTCCAGTGCATTTCCACGTACGGGGAAGGTGTCGACGAGTTTCACAAGGGTTGGAGTTCGAGGGCGAAGACCCCAAACCTTGAACAATCTGCACACCCAAGCCGCGCACCCAAATTCCGAAGCCTCTGAAAAAATCCGTAGCACTACAGGGACCTTAAGAATTACCAGTACTATTTTGGGAGTTCCTTATTAGATTTCGAACAAAGCATACCCCAAAACCCTATTCTAAATGTTAAGGCCCCTACATTTTAACCCTTCTAAAGAACCTGTCGCAAGAACCCATCTCAAGAAGACTTCACCCCATAAGAGGAAAACATGGCAAACAAGAATACTGAGTCAGGAGCCTCACGACGCGGTTGATCTTCTCGAGTGTGCCTCGAAACCATTTAGGGTTCAGGGCTTCAGGGCTGTCGTGCTTTGGGGTTTAGGGGTTCCGGGGTTTGACGTTTTAAGGTTCGGGGTTGCGATAAGCCGGTGTCCAGGTGCCGCTCATCCATGTGACATTTATACCTTCTATCTATGTAGCTACGTATCTATCTACGAATACCTGCTTGTCCGGCATGCCTCCGAATTTGCCCAGATCACAGTAAAATTTTTCCGACGCGGGACCCGTGGTGTTTTCGGAAAATCCACGAGTGGGTTTTGAAAATGAGGGACCTAACCCAAGGAACCCCGAATCAGGTACTCCTATTCTATTGCTTTAAGCTAAGAAATACCCACAAGCACAAAAACAAAACATATAACACACATACACACTGTCACACTCTCACGCAGTCACACACGGTCACACACACACACCCACACCGACACACCCACACACCCACACGCACGCACATGCACGCGCACAGGCACACCCACGCACGCCAATGCTGCACACAAATGCACACACACACACACACACACCCGCGCGCGCTCTCTCTCACACGCACACACACACACACATGTAGATCCCGGTCGGTGCCGGTTGTATCCTTCATTCTCATCTCCTTTCCTGCCTTGATTTATCTTGTTTCAAAATCTTTCTTATTTCATTTTAATTGGTCGTGGGAGCTCTCGAAACCTTGCAACTCATGCCAAAAGTCACATTTAGATGCAATGCACGACTTCTGAATACTTGGAAACGTCAAGGCTCTTCAGTCGCAGCTCGGCAAGTACGTGGATCAAGCGTCCTTGATCCATATCAGTCACAAGCATGGCCCTCTTCGTTGGACCGTCAACCATGCTTGTGAGACGGTCCGCCTGCTTTTCTTTTCGGTCATCCGAAATGCATTTTGTAGTACATCATGGTGTTTGAACAGAAACCAACTTTACACTCAGAGTCCTTAGATACAGGATTTCCACACACATAACCCCGGTTGAAGCCGGTTGTAAACAGAGCAGCTAGACAAGGGATTAAAATCAGAAAAATACGTTTTGAGCTTCAAGCATCTTAATCTTTACAGCAACAAAACAGGCTACAGGTTTAGTGAATGCAAGTCAAAACATCCGGGAACCTGTAGATTCTGGGCACAGCAAAAAAACTAGATGCAATACAACATTCTCGAGGCTTTAGTCGAACCTGGAGGCCATAATTATGTATGTACAGTTCTCATCGACAAGTGAGACGTCTTTTGTGCCTCTTCTCATCTATAAAGAAAACGTTTACTTGATAGGAGCCTGTGAAACCAGAACAGAGATCACAAGACTCCAAATTAGATGCAATACACGACTTTTTAAATATTTGGGAACCTTAAGGCTCTTCGGTCGCAGCTCTGCAGATACGTGGATCAAGCGTCCTTGATCCATATCAGTCACAAGCACGGCCCTCTCCGATGGACCGTCAACCATGCTTGCGAGACGATCATGACTTTGTCGTCTGGTTTTCTGTCGTCGTAACGTGATATCAAGATGGAACAGAATGAAACGAAACGAACAAGCACGGATGCTTCGTATCCTGTGGGTGGCGAAACGATCTACAGTATACTTGGATATCAACAATCAGAACGACATGAAAGTTAAACACAAAGAGCTGCATCATGTATTAAGTGCGAACGAGGACTTCAGCCCCTTGCACCTTCATCTTGGGTATGCTTGGGTATGCTTTGGGTCGCCGAAGCAGCTTTGTCTGAATTATGGATCAGCTTGTGTAATCATTCTAACAAGAATGATCATGGGAATGCTTGCTTTTGGATCTGCAATACTTGGGTATGCGATGACAAACAGTCTGACACACCTCAAAGAGACATGTTAGAGATGCTAGGGTGCTTGTCATTGTTGGCAGGGGTATACCTGGGAGGGAATGCGTTAGCCTTTAAAGAACATTGGGTCTTTTGGTGAAAGTCTGGTCTAATCCCAGAATGTAATCAAGTTTCATGTCGGGTATGCTTGGGAGGGCATGCGCTGCATCCTTCACGACTGGCCCTTTGTCAGAAATACCAGCCGAACAACACACATGTAGATCCCGGTCGGTGCCGGTTGTATCCTTCATTCTCATCTCCTTTCCTTCCTTGATTTCTCTTGTCTCAAACTATTTCTTATTTTATTTTAATTAGTGGTGGGAGCTCTCGAAACCTTGCAACTCATCTCAAGAATCACATTTAGATACAATGCACGACTTCTGAATATTTGGGAACCGCAAGGCTCTTCAGTCGCAGCTCTGCAGGTACGTGGATCAAGCGTCCTTGATCCATATCAGTCACAAGCATGGCCCTCTTCGTTGGACCGTCAACCGTGCTTGTGAGACGGTCCGCCTGCTTCTCTTTTCGGTCATCCGAAATGCATTTTGTAGTACATCATGGTGTTGGAACAGAAGCCAACTTTACACTCAAAGTCCTTAGGTACAGGATTTCCACACACACACACACACCACTCCAAACCATTAGAAGCCACTACAAGCCCCCCTCCAACTCAGAACCTCCAGCACCCCTCAGACCCATTGCGGAAGGTTTGCCTGCTTCTCGAAGATCCAAACTGATACCAGTTGGCACCTCGGGAGCATGCTGAGGGACATGGCAACCTGAATAAAGCGTTTAGGGTTTATGGGCTTCAGAGGGTCTAGGGTTTCAGGGTTTAGGGATTCTTTTGTTTTTTTACACTCACATTCTGGGTTCAGGGTTTGGGGTTAAGTGTCTTAGGGTTTTGGAATTATTGGTTTTAGGGTGGGTCTTATAACCAGATTTAAGCTTAGGGCTTTCTCGGGTTTCGGGTGTTCGTGGGTCTGGAAGTTTAGGGTTCTGTGCGGCTTGTCGGTTTTCTGGGGCTGGAGAAGGGCTTTGAAGATAAGGAGCGGGGTCAAATGCAAGAAGCACAGTTTCGGGTTTGGCTTTAAGGTTTAGGGTTTCTTAGGGGTTGAGGCTTTATTGTTTAGGTATACTTTGGACCACTTTTTGGCCACGCCCTCGGTGCTTTCGGAGTGCCAATCTGGTGCACGGCAGACTGGCAACGAAACTTGATGGTAGCATGCTTGACTAACCAGTATGTAGTTTATCAGTGGACCGGCCAATTTTCCTGCAACATCCTCAAACTCCATCAGCCGCTGACTCAAAAATGCCACATCGTCTTGCTGCAATGCAGGGAAAGCGTTTTCCAAGTTGGGGCTTTATTGTGCGACAACCTTATCCGAAACGCAAGGAGTGAATGCTGAGGGCTTACATTACGCAGGACTTGGGCTCCGCCCGCTTCGTTTCGAACCTGCTCTCCAACACCCCAGAATTCAAAAAGAAGCCCAACGAACATACTCTCCCTGAGCCCGACATCACGCTTCCCAACCCATGGACTTCGCCCAGGCTCACAAAGGATCCACCCTTTTACACCTGGACTTGATGAATGCCGGCCAAAGGATCCACCCTAAACCCTAAACCCCAAACCCCAAACCCCAAACCCTAAACCCTAAACCCTAAAGCCTAAACCCTAAACCCTAAACCCTAAACCCTAAACCCTAAACCCCAAACCCTAAGGCCGCTCCTTGGTTGAAGGGTCGAGGCTCACAAAGGATGCGGTTCTGAATCCGTGCGCAGTAGGGCATGCAGTTGAAGACGTGCGTCCAAGTCCTCGGTCGTGTTCTGGAGGCCCAAAGGGAATACCTAAACCCTAAACCCTAAACCCTAAACCCTAAACCCTAAACCCGAATGCTGCTATTTTAGTGGCCTTAATAATTACAACAGGGGTTGGGGGTATATAATACTACATAACTACAATAAGAAACCCCCAAACCCTATTCAAATTATTAAGGCCCAATACAGTACTGTCTGCTGGGTCGATAATATAGTATATCATAACCTAATCTCACCGAATAGTCTGATATACTATGTTCGAAGTCTTTCAGATTGGACGACTGTGTCGACTAAGTGGCTTCCAATACTTCACGCTGCAGCGCGTCTTGCACTCGTCGTAGAAGCCGTAGATGCGGCTTATGCTGTTGCACTCCTCAGGTGCGAGCATGGCAGTGAATGGAGTAGGCTCTTAGAGCTGGTGGGCCCTTGCAGCCCTACATGGCTGGAAATGCCGGAAGGAGTTCTCATGCTGTTGAGGTTCCGTGAAGTAGAGTCCCACTGCCTGCTTCACTCGTGGCCTATGCCCTACATTATGCAGGCGTTGCGATAACAATAAGTGTTCAGGGCATATGCTCCTCTACGCAAACATCAACTTTTGTTTCGGGGCGTCCAATTTGACCTGTAGCAATCATTCGCGATAACCCCGTCTGGTCTTTGATGCGAAAGGTAGTCTGGAACAAACTTCCATATGCATCCGCCGCACAAGCCACCCATCGGACCAACCGTGTACATACCGATGTAGCAGTCATGTTAACAGAAAGCGTTTAAACGACATGGGCGTTTACGCCCTTCAGACACTTTCGGGACCATGCCCGGTGGAGTCTCAAACCTCGAACCCCAAGCGCTAAAACCTTACCGCTGAACCACAAGCTACATAAACCCGGAACTGAACCAGGGAGTTTGCATCCTGAACTCCGCAGATGGACGAAGCAAAGCCCGGCATCATACTCAAGGCTAAAGACCCTCCTCTACAGCCAAGGGATCCCTAAACCGAAAACAAACTTGTATATCTGCTTGATTGGTGTGCACCCGGCCAGATTCCCGGCAGCACATCGCACTCATTGCGAGATGCTCCCTGAAAGTAGCCGAAACGGCGCTTGCTATCGCGACAGCCGAGCCGCGTGGCGTCCTCGGAGCAACGCCAAGCCTTGCTTTCGGTCTGGCAGCTGCGATATTGCATTCTGACGCTGGCTAGTGAAGGATTCACGTTTCGGGTTTAGAAAGCTTGTCTGTGGTTCAGGGTTTCATGTGTTTGAGATCATTTTAGGATGGCTGAATCAATTGGGCGTGACAATCCTGCATGGCGTGGAACGGAAGTGGACCGGCAACGGGGTAATCCACAACCGAAACACCCACCTGAAACTCGCTTCGCCTGGGTATTCATCGGATCATTCAGATCGGCATATCCGTTGGAGCAGGGGGCATTTGCCAAACAGGTGTGCAGATAGTAAACTTCTTCCGGCTTC